GGAGGCGGCTGGGGGGGCGCCCGGGGAGGCCCCTCGCCGGCTCCCGGCGGCCGTGCTCGGAGCTGGACCCCGTGCGGGGTCTCTGTCCTGCTCCTTGCCCGGGCCTTCGTGCGGGTTGGCCCCTTAGGCCGCGGTGCCCGGGGTGGGTATTTTATCTGAGGGCTTGCTCTGGGGCAGATAAGGAGCGGGTCATGCATGGTCATGTCCAGGGCTTCACGCCCTCCTTGCTTAAAACAAAAACAACATCAAAAAACAAAGCAAACAAATACCTTCTGCTTTCTTTCTTCCAAAAACCCACACGCTTACAACTGCCAATCTCAACTCTGTAAAGGTGTTACATGAGAAATAAAGTGTTTACTACTTAGCAGGAGGTGAGCGGGGAGGATTTTGTTGTTTAGTGGATCTTTATCTATAAACATAATCCTGTGACTATTAATAGAAGAGCTGCCTACCTGTTTGAGCAGAGGAATTATATTTATTCCGAGCAGCTTAGAAAGTACAAGCTCAATATTTCGGGTGACCTGGCGGATGGATCGTCGTTTATCATGGTTTGGTCTGTGACCTGGGAAACCATTTGACAAGATCACAAGGGACCTAGAAAAATGTTTTTAGAACCCATCAACATCCCAGTAAACCTTAAATACATCCATAAGATAAGAGAATAACGAATGCGGAAGGAGAAAGAAGAACCTCAAATAAGAGAATGTAATTTAGAATATCCTGTGCCCAGGAGTCTGATTGGATTTTATGACCCTTCCCTTCTTCCTGGTCTGTCGGGTTGCTGGAATCTGTTTAGTGGGCTTAGTGACAGTGTGAAAACTTGATCTCCGAGGGGCTGCCCTTTCTAAAATAAGCAGAATGGCTTAGATTGAGAGGCCACAAGAAACTGATCCAGACCCTGTTTGTTGAGGAAAAACTAGAACTTTCTTAGCAGTCAAACATGATGGTGTTTCTGCATGATTATTTAGCTGTTTGTGGTGCAGTGTTTTGCAGACGCAGGGGCAGGTCGACTTGCAACCTGCAATAAGGGCTATATCAGACACTTTATACTGGCCTTACCGGTTCATTATTCTTTTCCATTATTAGAAGCTGTAAATATTTTAGTTTTGCTTGAGGCTATAATAAATGTTTAGTCTGTTGTCCACTTAAAATGTACTTACTTCATTGTACCTTTTTTATTTTGCCAGGCAGACTTTATACAAAGATTTAAGGTGTCTTAGTAAAGAGATGAATGTGTGTTTTTTTTTTTTTCTTCTTTGGATGACATAACTCAGTTTGAGGAATGGTGCTGAGAGGTATTTATGGCTGAATGACTGCTGATCATATTAAGAAAGTCATTACTTGGCTGTGTTGATGTTGATGTTAGACCCCTGATTAGTCTTCCTATCTTTATTGAAGTATGGTTGTAGGTAGACATGATTAAAGTTAGAGACGTAATAATGTATTTTATTTAGTATTTTAAACTGTTGATAGTGAGATTTTGCTCTATACAGGATATATAGATTTTTATTTATTAAAGAAATAACCAGAAACCTACAGGGCATTTCTCATATTTTAGTTCAGGATAAGGAACTACCTTAAACCATATTTCTTTTATATTTTGAATTTTATGAGGATCTGTTGCTTGTGACTCTGTTATGGGAAGAACACTGTGTTAAAAGCATAATAATATCCTAACACTGGAAAATCATATTGCAAAATGTACCAAGAAACTCCTTAACTGTTGGAAACTTGGTTGCTCAGAAGTTAGGGTTTTTTCTTTGCATATTTTTCAGAGGTTTCTTGAAATACTAAAAAGTCTTTCTGTCCCTGTTTAGGACTGGCAGCCACCATTTGCATGTGAAGTACAGAGTTTTCGTTTCACTCCACGAATCCAGCGTCTGAATGAACTGGAGGTGAGCTTTTTCCTCTCGTGATAAAATGTTGTATTTGCACTGAAAGCAGTGCAAGCTCTCTCCTTGCGGTGATTTGTGTCTTGGCAGGTTTGTGGGTGGCAAGACTTTAGAAACCTATAGACCACATCAATGTTTATACTTGGCACTGGCAGAGTTTGGGTAAAATAGTTCCCCGTGTCTTTGAGAAAAGTCTGTTTTTTATTTTATTACCCAAAATAACCACAAGAGTTTTTCACATTCAGCTGCAAATGTCTAAAATGGATGCCAAGTACCATATTGTGTAGTAAGAGCAGCCAGTATCTAGCCTTTAAACCTCCACAGGCACTCTGTGTGTGTTTATATATATGTATATTTTCTTCAAGAATGTATACTGCTATTCTTATGCTTCTGGCTACCTTATGCTTAAATACCTTGATAATGCATTTTAAGCCTCAAAATTAAGTATTATTTTGTTGTTGTTGTTTTTTGTTTATTTGTTTTTATAGGTTTATTTACAGTTACTTAATTTTAAGTTTCAGAAAAGCATGGAAGCTTTCTTGAAAACAGTGCAGGTTCCAGTCTGTCTTGTTTTTTTCCTTTCCTTACAACATTCCGCAAAAGTCTTGCTCTGTTTGTGTACCAAAAATGTAATGTATTTGGCTGTGATTTTGATACTCCAGAAATTCTCAAGGGAATAGACCCTTTTGCAGTGTTAAGGTATGCAGGAAAACTGTTAATAACTATTTATCTATTTTTTTAAACATCGTATGTCTATTAATAATTTTTCTTGTGTTTCTTCCTGAGATGCTGCTGCTGCTCAAGTCTTTTTGTCTTCAAAAAGAGAAATTGTTAGGTAGGATTTGGCTTATAGGATCTTGATTGTGGAGAGAGAAATATATATAATATTCTGTTTATGAAGTCTTCTCTTTTTATGTATTTTTGACAAAACTAAGAAAAGCATCACCTTGCAGGTCACATTTCGTAAATATGAACAATTATAGGAACTTGTTAGGTGCCTTCTCAGGACTGTATGGTAGTATTTTCATGCTTGTTTTTGGAAATGCACATTTGTCTTCTGTTTTTGATTACAGGCAATGACCAGAGTGAAGCTGGACTTCTTGGATCAGTTAGCAAAATTTTGGGAACTCCAAGGATCCAATTTAAAAATCCCTGTGGTGGAGAGAAAAATACTGGATCTCTATGCTCTAAGCAAAGTGAGTAACCACTTGCAGGACTTAGCCAGGAACTTCTGTGACCTGAGGTTGTATTTCATGCAAGCTCAAGAAGCCAAGGATAGGGAGTGCGTAGAAAATACAAAGATTAGTTGAAAGAGGGGAGAAAAAAGAGAAAAGTCTAAGCATAGACTTCACTCCAGTAACAAAATGTTTTTGCACTGAGATTTCCAGTAGTCTGTGGAACGTTAAGTGTGGAATTTGGACCTTATGTATAAAGAAATATAATGAAAAGCTACTGCTAATATATAATGATATAAATGAAATTACATTTTGTTTTGGTTTTAGCTGCTTGGTAGTGAAACTACAAAGTGGCATTGTGGACAGTGGCAATGTGGCCTGTATTTCAAGGGAAGCAACTCATATGCTATCATCATTGCTTTGTGACAATGAATTCATTTTTAATTTTATGTAAATATTAATCATAGATAATCAACAACAGTTCTTTATGTTTAATTACTAGACCCAAAACAAGTCAAATGTAATAGCAGCTGAGCTGAATTAATTGGAAGGTGAATTCAGTTTCTCACCTGAAACTCTCTTGGGGTGAGAAACTGAATTCAAGTGAGAGTGTGGTTGGTTTGTTTGTTTTGTTTTGTCTGAGAATGTGTTTGTATTTTTTTTCAACATGTCAGAAATCTTAACTGTCAGACTCTTGTTGTCTGGGACAGTTCATTCCTTAATAGTCATTTACGAGGAAATTTCTCTTTTTAAAAGTATGAAATAACTAGGTTAAATACAGTCTTGAAATACCAGTCTTTCAAGAAGCAAAAGCTGAATTCAGGGCTCTGTTGACTCTTAATAGACCTTTTATCATTTGGTTGGTTTAATCAGTTCTTGGTTTATGCAGTCAGAAAACCTCCAAGTCCTTAACTTTTTTGTCTGTTTCAGATTGTTGCCAGCAAAGGAGGCTTTGAGGTGGTCACCAAAGAGAAGAAATGGTCGAAAGTGGCAAGTCGGCTTGGCTACCTGCCAGGAAAAGGCACAGGATCATTACTTAAGTCTCACTATGAACGGATTTTATACCCGTATGAGCTCTTCCAGTCTGGGGTCAGCCTTATGGTGAGCCACATCTCTTTCAGGATGTCAAGACAGGAGCCAGAGTGTACACAGAACAATGTTTTTTGTCACTGTAAAAGAAACTATGGCATAGGGTTCTACACATTGAGAAGCTTCAGCTGCATAAACAAACTTAGGAGCTCCCTCCTTCATTGCTGTGGCGGAATAGCACTATAGACTGTAATTTGACCTGTAATCTGCTAGTAGATTGTTTTTTTTCTGTAAGACTTAACCCTATTGAGATGCAAAATAAGGCTACTTAAGGATGTTATATGTGATGGAAAAGATGTCTTTGTCTCACTTGGTTAGCCTATGACTGAGATTCTTCATCTTGTTCCAAGTGTGTGTGGATTTATTCCAAGGGTTGTGTGTAGTGCTGTGTGACTTCATGCACTGCCTTGATTCACAGGCCACAGAATTTGATACCGTGTTTAACCAACCTGGTGTCCTGTGCTCTGATCCTCTAGGGCATCCAAAAGCCAAATTTGGACCTTAAGGAAAAAGTGGAGGCTGAGGACCTCAGCTCTGATGCTCAGGCTTCCCCAAAGCAGGGTACAAGAATGAATGTGGTGCTGAAGAGAACCAGACGTGTCAAGTCCCAGGTACCCATATTATTTGATTATTACAGACAGATACAAATTATTACAGATTATTTGATTATTACAGACAGATTATGCCTTGTACCAATACAATAGTGTTGAAAGTGGAACAGCCTTTGGCTATTGGAGTTCACTCAAATGCACTATTTAAGTCTTCACTTAAATAAAATCCAGAGAAAAATGTCACTTTGAGGCCTGGTTTGCTTGTGGTCCTGCACTGTTTAGGTAAAAACTTTAAAAAAACACTTTTTATTTATTTGCAAGTGGGCTATGTACCTTGACAGTGAATATGTTTGTAAAAACTGAACAAATAAAAATAATTGCAAAATGTTCTTTAGTTATATAAACATGTGTGGATAAGTCTTTATTAATTGTGGAAGTTGCACTTAAGACTGACTTACCTCATGCTGGACAGGCTTTTTTTGTGGAAAAAGACACAGATACAAGTGCGGATGGTCAGTGATGGCTAAAACTGAAGGAATTCCACAGTTTTTCTACTGAAATGCAGTTTTTTTTTCATCTGGATTAGTGGTATTTTGGAAACATCTGGTATTTACTAGACTATATTAAATCCTAGGAGTAACTCCCACTAAATCTTGCTTCAGACTGCTTTACTGCCACTTTGAATACTGTATCATTAGAAGTAGTCTGGGAGGCTTGTCCTGACGTCTCCAGTCCTTCTTTTGCGCTATTTTAAGCAGGTCTTCTGATTTTGACAAGTAAGTTTTCTATTGGGGATGACATCCTCAAATTTTTTAGGTCTGGTCTGTGTGGCATATGGATAAAAGCTGGGTTTATGTGTAACCAATTCTTAGTCCTTGCTTCATACTATTCTAGAAGTCTTGAATTTTTTTTAGATGCAGTTGAAAGGACGTTTTTTTTCCAAGTGCATGTTTCTTGTCACTGAGATTTCCCTATTTTTACCTTCTGTGAGTATCCTCTGCTGTTATAGACTGTCATCTTTTTCTCTGATTCAGAGATTCCTGTCATGTAATGACTCATGTAAAGTGTGTTTTTAATCTTATTTCCTTTCTTACTGGAGCAACTTCACTTTATGGTAACCATATAAAAATGCATCACAGAATCAGTTCAAGGCTGTGATCATCCTAGATCTCTGCAATCATGCATCATTAGTGAGCTACCCAGAATGAGCGAAGAGTACTGCAGGAACTGCTGTACTCATTCTTTAGGTAGAATGCTGCTTTGGATAGGAACCAGTGTTGTGGGGTGGTGTAGTATGGCCTTTTTTCATATGTCACTGCATTAAGATCCTACAGGATATTTCTTTCCTGCTGGTTTCAATAGAAAAATGATACTTTTTATTTTACTTTTGAAGTGATTCTGTTTTGATCCTGGCACTGTACAGTTGCTCTGTTCCATTTAAAGGGCCTGAATTTCAATACTGAGAGGGATGATCTTGGACAATCTGCAAGAAATATGTATATATTAAAATGTCTTTTATAAGGTCTGTAGCTGTACTTCATGCGTTACAATTATTAGAATGGCTGAAATTAATTCTTTAGTACAAGAGAAACTCATTGCACTTGGTCAGATTTTTTTTTTTTTGGCTAAATTGGAAGCTGGATATTTTTGAGTCCAGCTCCAGAGCTGATTTAACTGAATTAGAGAGATTTGCCTTCCAGAGCCCAGGTATATATCTGTATATGTGTATCTGGGGAATGCAAAGAAAAAGTTCCTGATATCAGTGCAACTCCTCCTTATAGATGGGACTGTTTATTGTTTGAGGTGTATGCCTGGTACTGTGCCAGAGAACACATAGTGTTCGGAGCACAGGTAATTTGCAAGTAATGCAAAATCTTGCCAGAATTCTGGTATAGCTGAGACGTTTGAGTGGTAGTCTGCTGCCTGGGTAAAGAGCATGATTAACTACTCTATGCTCTGCATCTTCTCTTCAGAGATAACTTACCTAAGAACTGGGAGATGAAAAAGAAAGCAGGAAAAAAAAACTTGCTGATTTAAAAAAATGCTTAAAGTGGAAGGGTGGCCTATTTTAGAAAAGAAAATTTTGAATTTTTAGAGTAAGTAAAACATGAAAGAAAATAGGCAGTGAGAATTCTCCTTTGTTACAGAAGATTGGAAATCTTTGGATACTAAGATTAAATACCGGTTGGCTGTCTTGTCTCTGAATAATAGTGGAAGAAATAGGAAGAGGTTAATTTTGGTGATGAGGGATTCTGCTTAGAATTGAATTTAATGCCTTAGCTTTCCTTAGAGAAAAGGGAATGAAAACATCCAAGAGAGGAGGGAGAAGGGAGGATACCGTGGAAAAGGGGCAAAAAGAGGCTTTGTAAAAGAACGGGCAAGAAAAGATAAAGTTTAGCATTTGAGAATAGCCCTTAAGGATAGGTTAAATTTAGGAGTGAGGGTATTCTTTATTAGAAAGAAAGATTTTCACAGATAATCTGTGAGGGTGAGTTTTAACTGGCAAGGATTTTGTCTGATGAGGTTATGTAAATCATGATTACTTCTGCAAAAGAGATACAGGACTGAAAGAAAATATATTTTCCAAGATGATTACTGTAAAATTGATATTAACTTTAAGTCCAAAGAAGTTTCCAAAATAATTAAAACAATTCTAAATAATAAAACTGCTTTGAGATTTCTTTTACAAATTCTGATAGTTTCAGAATAGCAGAATTAATGAAATTTCCCTTTTATGATTTGAGAATACTTCTGTGCCAAGGAAAAGCACTCTGGGAGATGGAAAAAAAAAAAGATTATTATTCCTGATTGCAATTATTCTGGTTTTACATATAGTAGTTGAGGGACTTGGAAAGTAATTTTTCTGAAGTTGATGGGAGGACATCGGGACATCTTATATTCTGAAGTTTTTGAATCAAATTAACAGGATCATGTTATTGGATTCTCTCTTATACAGGAAATCTTTGGGGTTTTGCTTTCAGTTGAGGAGGTAAAAGGAACAGAGATGTCTGCAGGAAGAAGAGGACTTGAGCACAGAATTTTAGTTTGTTCAAGTTGATTTTTGTTGCATGCAAAAATAGAAAGGAAGAGCATGGCTGAGTTCCGTGTCGTTAGCAGTGTGCAGGCGACCGGAATACAAGGGGTTGGTTTCCATACATTTGCAGCCTTCAGTTTGGTTCTTATGCAGTCTTGGAGGACACTGCAGAAAGCCTGCCCTTTGAATGACTTTGGTCACAACTTAACTTTCAGTAAGCAGGTACTATTTATGAAGTTTTGTGAGAATCTGTTTCTTTTTTCTGTTTTTTTTTTTTTTTAAAATACGTTTCTGTTTCAATATGTAACTTGATCTTTTAAAGCCATGTACCTTTTCTCCCCCTTAGGTTTGAAGCAGGTTGCATCTGCTTAAGTTTGATGGAATCAGAATAAATCTTGGCAATAGATTCATGAAGCTGTATTTTGGCAATATATTTCTAAACATAATTCTAACACCAAAGAGAGAGTGCCGTTAATAGTTAAATTGTGTTTCAGATATCATGGATCACAATATCAGGAAGGAGAATTAATGCTACTGAATGCTTCTGAAATCAGTGTTACTGAAATGATGGAAAATTGTGCTGTGGTGAAGAATGTTACGGGGGGGATCATGACAACTTCTGTTAGTTGAAAGAATGGATGTGCTGTGGGAAAATGGGAACTGAGGGGCTATGTAAAAAAAAAAAAGTTTTCTCAATTTTGCTCAGGGATATTGGTAAGTGATGTTTATTTGTCATTTTATATTATTTGGAAGTGAAAGCCTTCGTTTTGTAGGCTTTCCTGATCAATAAAAAATAGTCATTTTTACCTCAAATTTTATCAACCAAAAAGTGAAAAATTCATAAGAAAAATCTCTTTGAGCTAGTTAGAGTGCAGTTTCAGACCTGTTTCTAAAAAGGCCAGGTTGATAATATACATATAAATTGAAAAGAATTTTGTAGCGACATATAGAGCAGCAAAATTAGAAAATTTCCAACAGTTTTCAAAGGTGCAAGGCAGTATAACGAATGCTGCTATACACAAATCAGTGGGAGTAATTACTCTAAACATTGCTGAAAAATTTCTGCAAGTCATAATGACTAGCAAATTAGATTTTTTTTAAGGATCTTTTGGAAGAAAAGCAACAGATTTAGCCTGAATGCAGGAGAATTATCTTTGAAGTTCTTTTTCTTCAATTTTTTTTTTGAGAAGTTGTTTATTGCTTTTTCAGTGAGATGTGATCGCTGGGAGCTTTGATAAAAGCTGCGACTGAATGCCTGCCACAAGGGAGCTTATTTTATACGTGATATATCAGACCATAATTCTATAGAGAATAACTGTTGCAGTATCATCTATCAACCACTAGCTTAAGAATTAAACTCTTACTTTTTAATTTGGTGGGCTTACTGACATCTTTTAAGATCACTGAATTTGGGGTTTATGAATGATGAGAATTTAGTGGTCTCCTATACCAGCTCAGAAAGGATTTTCAAGGCATAGGGAGGCAAGTGTGAAAAAAATACCAGGGTGACTGCAATGCAGATAAAACAGGATATGGGGGTTCTTTTTGCTGTTAGGCGAGTGGCAATGATGTGGGAAAATGATCCTGATTAGGAATGGGAAACAGGAATAAGTTGAATTGAATGAGGTACTTCAGAGAACAGCCAAACGCATGCAAGGAGCATGGAGTTGTGTTACTTAGTAGGTCCTTTCATCTCGGAAACTGTAAGGGCACTGTGGGTAGCTGTGATGTGAGAGAGATGTTGTCTTAACATTTCATCTCATATCAACCCCAACCAGACTTAAGGGAAACATATTGGAGCTCATTAGGGTTATGTGTGTGTATTCACTTAAGGAAGCAGGAACAAGGTAAGTGTTAACATTGAAATGCTTTTCCTATATCGTGGTGATTTTTTTTGAAAACATTGCCATGGCATTCTTACTGTTGAATTTCAGACCTATTGTTTGCCTTATAGGTGATCCTCTGTGATCTCTCATAACACTAGATGGGCAAGGATTTGTAAAGTTGAGAAAATGGTCCCCATGTTGCCTTTCCTCTCCTCCCTCTTGCCTTTTTCTTCATTGGCTTTAGGAAAAAGAAAATCATGCCTTGTATTTCCTTTCTTCTGATGAACTCATGTTGGGTATTATGGGACAGTAAAATATGTTGATGTGGTCTTATTTTTAGGCTGAAGCAGGAGAAATGAGTAGAAATACCGAACTAAAGAAGCTGCAGATCTTTGGAGCTGGACCTAAGATGATGGGCCTGGCATTGGGAGCGAAGGATAAAGAGGGTAACTCAGTCTTGAGTTTATCAGTTTGTAAAGGCGTGACATAGCTTGGAACAGACTGTGAAATTTTTCTGCATGTCTTTAGAGACAACAGTAAGCAGCAAGCATATCATTGTAACTGGAAAAAGAAAGCTAAATGTTTTAGGGTTTAATTCATAAGAAAGATTTACAGGACGCTTCATGTAACTTGGCATAGTTTCAGCTCTGTATTATATAGTACTCATAATGATTAAGCAGCTTTAGCATGTACTTAGAGACTGGAAATGAGAACAAGATGTGAAAAATTTGACCTTGTTCATACTAGCTAAGTGTTCAAATTGTGAGTGTAATTTACAGTTTCCCGAGGCAATTGGATCACCTCTGAGGATCAACAAAAATGTTTTTCTAAACTGTGTTTATTTTATATTGGCATAGGTATAGCAAGGCATTTTGGCTTTTCTGAACTGTAAGGTATTTCTGATGTAAAGCAGGGTGCCAGGGTGGACATCTATGTTGGTTCTGCACACTAGATCTATCTTTGTGATATTAATAACATTTATTTTACTTAAAGATGAGGTGTCGCGAAGACGCAAGGGAACCAGATCAGAAGCATTTGGAATGCAGATGAGGCAACGGAAAGGAACACTTTCTGTCAACTTTGTAAGTTTGATTTCCTGGCAGTGGTTTCTGATAATACAAAGCTTGTTTATTGCCTAAGATTATTTTTGAAGGCTTTTCTTTGTTCTTGGGAAAAGATGAATGGATGTACAGTGCAGCAGGTTATCTTGTTAGAATGGAAAAAAAGAACAATATTTTGTACAGTGATATATATGTTAGGTTAAGATTTCTTTTTTGATCATTCAGGCAGAAAAGGGCATTGTAACATGAAGGTACTTACCGACCACGAGTTCCAGGCCTTGGGTTGGCACACATTTTTTACGTGCCTTGAGTACCTCCCTTTCGTTCATTTCATCTCTGCTTTTAATTCTACTTCTGTTTTGTAAAGGTATTTTGAGGTGCACTGATAGAACAGCATTTTGTTTTTCAGCAACTCCATCTGTCCATATCTCAAATTACTATTTTGTGTTTAAACCAGCCGTTTCATTTCCTAAGTCCAGCCAAGAGAAAATTCAGAGGAACCATTAAGGGGAAAAGTAAAAATTATCAACGTACCACTTTGATATTTGAGCTTGGAAAAGCAGTATATGTTTGTTCTTAATCGCTTTTATAGTTCATGTGACTTTGTTTTTAAACTGCCATAGTTTAGCATATGTACACAGTTGTGAATGACAACGAATGCTTTTGATGTCTGAAGAAATAAGATTTTAGACCAGTAATTAGGATGTACTGTTTCTGTTACCCTGAGAACACTTGAAAGATTTTGTGGTTTAATTTTTAACCATAGAAGGTCAATGCAATGAAAAGTCTCAAATAATCATATTTTTCTATGCAGAAATGCCTCCTGGGGAAAAACATGGGAGGAGTTGGATATTTAAAAGCAAATCTCTGTACTGTTGTGGCTAAGTTAGAATTAGTGGGACTTTTTAAGTTTGACTTCTTTTTCAACTGTGTTATCACCTCAGATTATATGATATTCCTGAGCTGTGTAGGTGCTGTGATCATTGTGTTTTTCTGAAGTATGATTCTGTTTAAGTATTTTGTTTAGTCTATGTTTCTTTGTAGGAAATAGTAATTGTTTTCTATTTCTATTTACCCCTATTCATAAGAGAAAGGAAAATACTGCTGCAGCACAGCTGCTGTTTTGCAATTCTATTGCTGTAACTGTAATTATATGAAATTCTGTGACCTGGTACTGTCCTCATTTGTCCTACTGACTTTGGTGGGTCCTCATTTGTTTAATAATTGGATGAGAGTAGTCTTTAAAGTGCATGTGATATATTAGCCTTCTACCTTCTATCTGAAAAAGTTTACTTCAGTTTTGAAACCTTTCTCTTATCTTTGTTTTTCATGTAAAATGTTAGCTGTGAAATAAAAAGATCTACATTATCCTCCCATGTCCTGAAAAAAAATATGTATCATCATAGTCTTACTGTGTTTTAATTGTGTAGCTGGAAGGCTCTATAATCACAAATCTGCTTTTTCTGAGTATTTCTATGCAGTCTTTATCTGAGAAATCTTCACATGGATTCATGTGAAAAAGATTGATTCTGCTCATAAGAATTTTGAGGGGAGAAGGTATTTTCAAAAAGGTTATTAATTCCCTTTATGCATAATTAATTCCCCATTATCCCTAAGATAATGTTTTTGATTTGGGAAGAGGACATGGAAGCATTTCTGCCCATCCCTCGTTCTTCCATTTAAATACCTGTGACAAAAGTAACTAGTTTAATGCCTAAGACAGACACGATCTTTCATGAAGATTGAGCTTAAAAAAAAGGGGGGAGGGGAGGAGAAAACAAGGGGTTTCTTAATAGAATTACATTATTTTGAAAATTGTCTCTTGAGAAAATTATTGAGCAATCTTCTATTTGAGAAGTGTACTACTGCAGAGTGAGGAAGTTGCCTGGCTGGCGTAACTTTAAGATGGGAGTGACTTCAAGTACTGAACTCATCTATGTGAACCTAAACAGATGAAAAGCATACACTTTTTGTGGCAGTTTGGCTAAGAGGGGCAAGGGGGGAAAACATCTCACTGTCCAAAACAGTCCTACCACTTCCAGTGGATTTTGAGCTGTTTGAAGGAGATAAAACAGCATGAGTCACCCAGTGACCGAGGAGAGTAGTGAGAGTGTCAGGAACAAGTGTTGCTCGTGATACTTGTGTTGTTAAATGCTTATGTATAGGATATTTTTTTAGCTGTCATAAAGTAATACACAATTTCATCATTCAGATTACATTGCAGATCTTCAGTGCTATACTAAATGTTAGCTAAATATCTTCACTTGAAAATACTTAATCCCCCAAGTGTCTTTGGAAAACCCATGAGGCAACAGCAAAGAAAACAAAACCTGATGATGGTGTTTCTCTTAGTCCCTGAGGACAGGTTCCAGTGTCGTCCAGGAAAACCTCTCAAGAACAACATTTTAAAAATTATTTATTTAAGTATTGGAATTAATACTTTTATCCTGTTGTTTGGAGTTCTTATGTGTTATTTTGGAGAAAAGGAAAAACGAGTTAGAACTTTCATATGTGGTTTGTTCTCCTTCCCTTTGATTTTTTTTTTGTCTGAATTCTGCAGGTATGGTTTTCTGTTATATTTTCTTGCCTGTTGCAAATGGGAGAATTTTGCGCCTAATGATAGAATGTATGTGTCCGAAATAGTTTTTGGAGATACTTGGCAGCCATGTTGTCTGTAGGGCTTTAATTTGAGTTGTTCTTCGTTACTGTGTCCTGAAGGAGAGTTGACCTGCAGTTCTAAATATTCTAAGTGATCCTTTTGCCTTAAATTAACATAAATGAACTGGTACTTTGTGTTTGATAAGAAATAACTGTCCATGTGAGTTGGATAGTTATTTTCCAATATTTTCCAAAATAACTATTTTTATAGTTATTTATTTTTAGCCCTTAAAAACATGAATGCTTCAAGAGACTGAAACGTAATTGATAATTACCAGTGCTTCTCAATGAGCAAAGGAGATGGTGTGAGGTCCATGTATCAGACTTTGGAGTTGCACCCTTTCTTACTGTAAAAGAAGGCATGTACTGGATGAGGAGGCTTTTTGCGATTTGTATTATTTTGTTTTTTTTTTTCTTTCTCTCCACAGGTTGATCTGTATGTTTGTTTATTCTGTGGCAGAGGAAACAATGAGGACAAATTGCTTCTGTGTGATGGGTGTGATGACAGCTATCACACATTTTGCTTGATTCCACCTTTACCTGATGTACCCAAAGGTGACTGGAGGTGTCCGAAGTGCGTTGCTGAGGTACAGTTTCAAGAATTAGTCAAGCTTTGAATGTATTTTTGTGATCCTGAAAAGGTCAGGACCAAGACCAGTTCAGGTCCTATTGCCATTCTGTTTAAATAGAAGCTGTATTTTGTGTGGAATACTTCAAAAGTAACTTGTGAATTTCCAGCTGCTTCTGGCTCATGAATCATAAGAAAGATCAAGGAAGGGGCAGAAATGTGACTTCCTGAGCCTCGATATAACCTTTGTTTATTATGTTGGTATGTGAAACACAGACCTTTAGCCTTTGCACACTGAGAACTGAACTCAATATGATGAACTGGTGATGGAAATCAGGGTGAGCAGCAGGGCTATTGAAAGTCTAGAGGGAAACAAAAAGGTATCATAAGGATTGGGATAGGTGATTCAGCATAAGGATAAGGTATTTTCTAAACCGTTAAATAACTGAAGTATTTTACTTCGGCCTAGGAAAGAGCTTTGTTTATTGGTAAATAATTATGACATTGCTCTATTTGTCATTTGGGATATGTCCAGAACAGCTTGTTGCAGAAAGTGAAGGACCCAATTTAAAAAGTAGCTATTTTAGATTTGAGTTAGACTGAGAAAAAGAAGCTGAGGCTTTGAAAGTGGAAGCTAATTTGAATTTAATTGCTTGAGAAACAGGAGCTCATATGTCAAGAAGAAAGATCAGCAACCTAAAGGCTTTGGACATAATTTGACTTTTTTTTTTTCTTGATTTATGTCTTATGAAAGTAGATTTTTGCAAGCTCAGGAAGCTGGCAGATATTCTGAGGGAAAAAAAAAAGTGGTTTCTAAGACTGTAATTTTGTGAATAGCTTAAGCTTTCTACACTATGTTTTCCCAAAAGGGACAGTCACACATACATACACCCAACCCCCTGGCTGTGGGATTTTCTGTTGTTTCCTTTGTGGTGGTATGAACAGTTGCACAGACACGTAACGAGGTGGATTAACTCACTGATCTCTATCCCTCCGCCAAGAGAGATTAGGGTGCCAGATGAACTCATGTGAATGCTGTTGTGAGAGGTGGAAAGTTGGGGTCACAGGCAAAGGGAGGATGGGACTAGCCCATTGGACTGCAACTCCTGGAGTTGATTTAGCTGCTCATTAAACCTTCCCTCAAGAGGGAACATTGAACGAATGTTGGCAAACTACACCAGTCCGAAAGTGGTGGTGATGTAAAAACGTTAGATGTGGGCACCCATGAGATATGTCAATAATAGTGGTAGTAGTGAAAATGTGGATACCTTGTTGCCAAGGGTAAATGACACCTGTAAGGACAAACTCAAAGTCATGGTGCAAGTTAAGCCCTTATTGGCAAAAGGTACAAAAAGTATTTGAAAAATTCTATCAATACATAAAAGTAAAAAGAAAGGGAAAAGCTTAGGTATTTCATGCCATGGGAGCATCGGCATAAGTTTGAAGTGCTCAACAGTACCTTTTTGTGTCAGTTCTTACATTAACAGCATCTGTTTTAAAGTAATGTTAACAGCAGGATGCCAAAACAAGCTAGAATAGCAGGATAAGGATTATTTAGATGCTTTCGGGTCAAAAGCATTTGATAAACTTTAGAGTATTTACTGCCAGCCAAAACAATTTTCGAACTATTAGTGGTTATCCTTGAAAACTGCTGGCCAAAGGTGAGGTGTTGTAACTCTCATTTATAGATAAAGTGGCGTAAGAAAGAAATGCCTGCAGTTGAGGGAGGGGATCCTCCCCCTCTGCTCAGCTCTGGTGTGGCTGCACCTGGAGTATTGGGTGCAGTTCTGGGCTCCCCAGTACAAGAGGGACATTGAGCTTCTAGAGAAGGTCCAGCGTAGGGACACGAAAATGATTAAGGGACTGGAGCATCTATCGTATGAAGAAAGACTAAGCGAGCTGGAACTGTTTACCCTGGAGAAGAGAAGACTGAGAGGAGATCTGATCAACATGTACAAGTACCTGAGGGGAGAATATAGGGTGGATGGGGCCAAACTCTTCTCGGTGGTGGTTGGTGATAGGACAAGAGATAATGGGTGAAGTAGAAACACAGGAAGTTCCATCTGCGTGTGAGGAAGAACTTCTTTACTGCGAGGGTGACAGAGCTCTGGAACGGGCTGCCCAGAGAGGTTGTGGAGTCTCCTTCTCTGGAGATCTTCTAAACCCGCCTGGATGCCACCCTGTGCCACGTGCTCTAGGTGTCCCTGCTGGAGCAGGGGGGTTGGACTAGATGATGTCTCAAGATCCCTTCCAACGTCAACCATTCTGTGATTCTGTGAAATGAACATTAAAAAAAAAAGCATCAAAAGAAAAATCTGGTGGTAATAAACACCAAGTTTGAACTTGGTTCAATATCAATTCAGGATGTTCTTCAAGAATTTAAAAGACTGAAACAGGGTGAGGGTGAAATAGTGAGATTTGTCAGTTATCTGGAAAGTCTTATCATAACCTTGAAGGAACAAGATTAGGGTTAAAGTGATCATGATAAATTTGAGGAATAGTTCAGATAAAAGCTAATATAGGTAAATGATATGCATGGAGATAAAGTGCTGTATGCAAGTATATACAATGGGAAATAAGTGGTTAGAGAGCAGTGCAGAAAGAAAAAGGAATCTTGGGGTTGTTATGGAACATAACCGAACATCAGTTAGTGATGACATAGCAAAAAGGGCATATATAATTTTGGAAATCTCTTTAATAGATTCTTGAATATTTAGAGTCAGGAGTGATATGTCTTCAGTTGAAATTTCAGAGGATAGTTGGATAAGGAGAAAAACTTTCAACAGGAAGGAAAGTAACATTTTGATAGATTGCTTACGGAGCTTGTAGGTTCTCTGTTGCTTCCCACATGCAAGGTCTGCTTTGATAAATGTTGGGCATAGCCTAATAATAGTTCTTGGGAGAGGAGGGAGGGGAAAAAAAAAAGATTTTTTAAAATTCCAGTCCTGCTTCACTATCATTAAAAAGCTGATCATCATTTTTTTAAAGTCTGTGTTCCAATGTATCTTGTATGTATAATAATGGTCAGATGGGAAGGGGTTGAAACAGACACTTTAGAAGCAAATAGGTGGGGAGAACGGGGCAGAAGTGTGATCTGGTTGCTTTTTGCACTCTGAGATATTTGTGGATAAAATGATGGAGGCCCCTTTAAATATTTTATCTGTTGGATGGACAATGCCTGTTATTTTCTGATATGTCAGCTTCATGGGTAAGTTTTATGTTGCTTTAATAGAGTTCCTGTTCTTGTCTCATGCCTTGGTAGTGCCAAATCAGCCGATGACTTGTTGATTTGTTAAAACGCTTGGGATTTGCTCCTGGGATTTGCTCCTGTGTAGTTTTCCTGCAGGTACTTGATTCTACTGTGTCTCAGAAATCCCTTAAGGCAGTCTAAGATTCTTCCTTGTTACTCCTTTGTTTATCAAATTTAGTTTTGGACAGGTGAGCAGAAGCCTGTAGCATTGGGGTTTACCAGGTGGTTAATTAACTTCCCTTATTCTGTTCTGTTTCCATTTTTGTAGAACTTTCTTGTCTGAGAAAAGCAGTGAAAACTGATAGCTTACTGAGTTTGATAAGGACTCGGACACTCTTCTTCTTTTTGCTGAAAGTGTGATTGTTTGCCACTGATGCTGAGAAAACAATATTTGTATGTTCCCTCTTCCAGGAATGCAACAAACCCCGTGAGGCCTTTGGATTTGAACAAGCTGTCAGGGAATATACTCTCCAGAGCTTTGGTGAAATGGCTGATAACTTCAAGTCTGATTATTTCAACATGCCGGTCCACGTGGGTTTCAACATTTGTTATGATTCCTTGTAGGGAAAAAAGAGAAGTGGTATCAACTGATGCTGAGTTTCTGCTGAGGCATCTTAGCTTTGTTTAAAGAGGCACCATAAGCTTGAAATGTGTAAACAAATGATTTAATTTTCTGGCATCTGGTCTCCTTTCAACTTTGTTTCACCCTCTTCCTGTGATAAATGCATAGCTTTACTGCTTGATCGTTTACTGCCCATGGCCTCTACTCCATTTAAGCTCTTCTTGATTAATGGAACTGCGTACATAATTGTTCTTGTTTGGCAGAGGATTGTTTCTCCAGCCCTTTTTGTGTGTGTCTTGTGTTTTGTTTTTTTTAAGTCTTAGTTTAGTTTGTTCAGAGGATAAAACCCCTCCTCCCTGCAATCTTTTCTTCTAAAATCAATAGACTGAGTCTGTCTGATTGCAGCTTTTTTGGTTCTGCACCTCAGCAACACTGGCTTGTCTGCTCTGGCCCACCTGGATGATTCCCCACTCCTCTAGGCAGCACGGCGCTCCTCTTCCCCATGAGTTGCTTTGGTAACTCAAAGCTGTTCTAATCAGGGCTCCTGCCTGGTGAGCACGCCAAGTTACAGTGTAACTAGAAGCTGCAGTGACCTGTGTGAAGACTGCATTCTCTTAAACATAATTCCTTGTCTGAATTTCACTGCTGTTATTCAGAACTTTTGGTCTTTATCCTCTGAAATTGTTTGGAATGTCCAAGTTGTTTGTTCTGTTTAGTGCCCAGCTTCTGCTGGTTGTCTCCTCCTCTATTCTTTGCTATCAGGGTTTTAAAAACTAAACCCTGCTTTAGTTTTTTGCCAATCCCACTCCTTATAATGTGGCATCCTGTTTCTGTTATATAGCGGCCACTGCTAAGGAATATAAGCCAACTGAATGGAGGGTGAGAGGCAATGGCCTTGATGCCTCAAAATCCATGAGGATTTAGTGACAGTGTGGTTAAATGATGGTTTTTAGAGTGGAACTTAACTACACATACTCTAATGGCTTTTTCTCTTGCAGATGGTTCCCACCGAACTGGTGGAAAAAGAATTCTGGCGGTTGGTGAGCAGCATAGAAGAAGATGTCATAGTGGAATACGGGGCTGATATCTCATCCAAGGACTTTGGAAGTGGCTTTCCAGTGAAGGATGGCCGACGAAAGCTGATGCCAGAGGAGGAGGTGAGGAGGAAAATATGCAAACTGACCTCGCTCTTTACCCTGCATAAAATTTCACATTAAGCATGTAGGCCTGGAATTGGGGTGGATTTTTTTTTTAATATAAAAATTGCTTAAGGCTTTTGAATGTGCTTTCCTTTAGCATTCCTTTTGAACAGACATTTTTGATTTTTTTTTTGATATCTGATTCTGTTAGCTAACCATTTATTCCATGATGTATTCAACAGCTGTTTTGTATCACTTAATCTTAGTAGGCAATTTGATATCTTTTGGTAAAAATATGCAAGATGTTATAGTGTGTCCAAGTGTAAGGAGACCGATAAGATATTTCTTTCTTATTTTGAGTGCCTTAGTTCAAAAGGTTCAAAATAAGGCTTAAAATAGACAAAATCTTTAGATAATTTGATTTAGCTTGTTTCTCTGAAAGTGTATAGTGGATGAATAAAGAGATACAAGTATGCTGCTATTACGGAAAATTATATTTTTATCAGGTCATCTTCATCTTATCTATTTTCCCTCATATCTGCCATACCAATTTTATTGTCCAGGCTTACTGTAGTGCCTAAATCTTCTGGTTGTTCATATGTATGAATTCAGTTTAAGAGGGAGAGTTAGGGTCTGTTTTTGTGGTTACAAAGCCCGAGATCAACTTGTGCTCCCCACCGAAAGAGGTAATTCTTACTCTCACCTGCCACCCATGCCTGTACTTTCCCATTTGCATGTTTGTGTTGGCTTTGCATTGATTGTTTGGTTGCCTGGTGAATTGGAACCTCTTATTGATCTATTTGTGTAAGAGTCATAATTTAAAATAATTTCTAGACAGATCACTGAGGTAATCTGACTCCATGTTCTGAATTTAGTGTCAGTGGAAAGGAAACAGGAGGAATGTGCCTCTGAGTAGAGCTTGGGACCGCCCTTCTTCAGCAGCTATGGGATATGCCTAAACTGAAGCTATACGCTAACAGTGAAAGTAGGCTAATGTAAAAGGGTGATAGCAATCTTTTTGGGCAGTTTGTTTGATTTTTTTTTTTTTTTTTTGTGCAGAATGTATTGGAACGTAAATGTGAAATTGCTTATGAGAGAATAGGAAGTTCTCCTCCTGAGAAAAAAATCTAGCATTATATATAAGAAGTTCAAGATAAACTGCCCTGCAGTAAAGTAGGCCTTTAAAAAGCTGAAACAACAACGTAAGATTGTACAGGATACAGTGAAACTTAAGCTATCCAGTTTCACTGAAAACTTAAATGTTTTGTTCTTCTGCTAGGGTTACTAGTATTTTATCCCCTCAGAAAAGAATGAAAGCTACAAAGTAGGAGGGGGAAAAATCAAAACCTAAACATATAAGCCTTCATCCAGTATAACCAAGGATTCTATTGAAGTTCTAATAGCTAAAATGTTAAGCTTGATTAAATGCTGAGATATTTAAGGAAGTATTTCCTAGTTTTTAAGCTTCATTGTTGCAGAATACGGATCCCACTGTCTGGTATAGAAATCAACTGTCTGATCCCTTCTTTTGTTCTTTTCTAGATTTGGTGTTCTGATTGTCTTCCGACTTGTTCAGAATTTTCTCTCTTTGTTTGGCAGGATTATGCACTTTCTGGCTGGAACTTGAATAACATGCCCATTCTGGAACAGTCGGTCCTTGCTCACATCAATGCAGATATCTCTGGCATGAAGGTACCTTGGCTGTATGTAGGGATGTGCTTCTCATCGTTTTGTTGGCACATTGAAGACCACTGGAGCTATTCCATTAACTACCTGCATTGGTATGTCCCCTTTGCCTTTTGTCCATCTACCTTCTACAGTCTTGTTTGTTAGTAAATTTGCAGTTCTACTTGAAAATACCCGCTTATGCAGATGATTTGTTCTAAGCAAAAAGCTAAAAATGATGAGTTGTCCGTATTCTTAACTGCAGCTGTTTGAAAGAGTATATAAATATTGTTTAGGCTCTTTGGTTTTAACTTTTTAATTAACCTATTGAATACTTTTGTGTTGCCAAAAATCCAGTGTCAGTGTAAAATCTTGCTTTACGGGCTTACAGCTTTTCTGGGAAAGTTTTCAGTTTTGAACTGAGCAGCAGTTTGTGTTGCCTCCTAACCTGTGCTTTATGATTCAGAGTTGATATGCCGTTGTCCTGGAAATGGAGGCAGTTGCCTAGAGCCTATCTAGGCATTGGGGCTAAAAGTTGAGCAGCAGATCTGTGTGTACAGAGAAATAGCCCTATTGATTAAAGTGAAGTGAAAAATTGAAAGCAATTTTGACTTTTAGAGCATTTCCCAAAATGTTCTAGTGTTCATTCTTCTGTGCTTCAAAAGAAGAGTCATGGCAGATGAATGACTTGCACTGCAGTCTTTCCAAGTCAACGGGTTCAGTCAGTGTGGGAGAGTGGGAGGAGAAGAGGAGCGAGGGGCAGCTCCCCTTCAGAGTGAAAAGTTTGTTGTGCATATGGTAAGGATCAGTTGATGGCCTTTAGACTGTGCACATCTCCAGAGAAGCATGTTTGCTGGTAAGATCCCCTCCGTAGGCTCAGGAGGGGGATTTGTTTAGTTTAGAGTTCAGTTATTGTCCTCAGCATGCTATTAACTGAAACAGTGTGTGGGTTGTATCAGCTGGTGAATTCCTGCAGCCCAGTCAGATACAGAGGAGTTATTCTTCTGATCTGTTTATTTATTTATTTGTTACCGAGGTTTGCTAGCTATGTCCTACCAGCAGGTGTCACTGAAGCCTGCCAGAAGCAAAACGATGCTGCCCTATTCCTTGCCTAGTTTTCCAGTTAATTGCTGACAAGCATAGTAGTATAGTCAGTGTTATGTAAACTGCTTCAGATTCGCAAAGATAAAATTAAAACAAATAAATCCCGACACCACAGGTTCTGGTTTGTTACAGCTTGCTTTGGTGAGGCAGGACTAGAGGGATGAGAGCAATATGTTCTATTTGCTGTTTGCTCTTGCTTCTTTGTTCCTTTCTTCCTTCACAATTAGCGAATTCATGTCATTAGGCATTTTCTATTTTAAGAGTCCAGTGGACCGTGGGTTTTCAGCAGTAATGTATGTTAGGACTGTTTTACTTCATCACACTGGTATTTTGATGTTTCCACCACTGATTCCAGACACTGGACTTCTCCAAGCCCAATTAAGTGAGTGGAGGAGTACTGTGGTCTCTTTTCTGTTAGATATTGGCTACGATAAGCTTCAATAAACTTTTCTAAAGAGAAATACTCCCTGTTTTATCCCTTTAGAGAGTGGTAAATGACAATTTCTTTTCATCTTAAGCTCATCATAAAAAAGCTTCTGACAGATTTGTTGCGAATTATATTGTAGAGTAATCGATTTAGCAGATTGGAGTGATACATCCTGGAAAAGACTGTGTTTTCAGTTAAAGAGATTTTGTGAGGTGCATACAAAATATATCTGGCTTAAGCAGCCTGCGATGTGATATTTGAGTTGTACTTTGGAGTTGGATGGCATCCTTGCTTTCCCTAGAAATGAAGTGCTAATTACCCTGATTGTGGTTTTGTAGGGGAGAGCCGAAGACGTGGTACGGCGTGCCCTCTCACGCGGCAGAGCAGCTGGAGGATGTGATGAAGGAACTGGCTCCTGAGCTCTTCGAATCCCAGCCCGATCTCTTGCATCAGCTCGTCACCATCATGAACCCCAATGTTCTGATGGAGCATGGTGTACCAGTGAGCACTGCAGAGGCATTTTTTTACATAAACGACTTAGGATCTAGTTTTTGTTCTGATTGTGTAACAGTGGTTTGGAGTAACTGAAGATTTTTATGTCACTTGAGAAGATATTTATTTTATGTTTTGTAGAAAACTGAGTTTTCTGCAAACTCTGTTTTTGACTAAATGTTAGCTTTTAGGAGCAGGTGTAACCGTTTGCAGTTGTGTTAGTGTGAACTGCTGCTCTGGCAAACATTCCAGCAGAGCAAACACTTCAGTTTCCATAGGCTTTTGCGCACTGTGGTGTGATGGATTAATGACAATCTGTTAGCTGATAATACAGAAACATCCCCTTTGGGAGTTACAAAGAGAATTCTCTATGCCTTATAATTTCAACTGCTGACTTTTT